CTTCCAATCCAACTCCCTGCTAATGCACTTGAGAAAGCTGCAGAAGATGGCTCAAGTGCTTGGGCTCCTGCATCCACGTGGGAGACCTGGAAGAAGTTCTGGGCTCCTGGCTTTGAATCGGCCCAGCTCCAGCCATTGGCAGCCATTTGGAGAGTGAACCAGTGGATGGAAGAGCTCTCTCTCTGTAACTCTTTCATCTTTGAAAATAAATGAAAAAATATATAAGTGAGTGAATGAAAAAAATTTGTTATACTAACTCCTCCCCCTTTTTTTTTTCCTTTCTGCCTTTTGGTGTTGGTGATCATAATCAGCCACAGTTACGGAAGTCTCGTAGCCTTTCAATATTGATTTATTTATCAACTATGCAAATGTTTGCTCCAAGTCAGCTGGTGGGCAACACAAGGAGAGGGCTCTCCAAGGGCACCGGCGATCGCCTGATTAGCAAACGCCACAGCCTTTTCCTGTTCACCCGTCTTGGGCGTCTGTACAGTTCTCACATGCGAGATTTGCCCACCGCAAAGTTGTTGTAAGTTGAGTGGCTCCTGACCTTCTGGTTGCCACAGGGACTTTGCTGACCTAGTCCAGGCAGTCCCACATCTGTGACATCACTTCTGCAAGATGACAGGTCAGCCCGTTCTGTGTGTGTCAAAAGGAGTAGCGTACCAGGGAGGTGTGGTCTTTGGAGGCCGGCTTCCACACTAGGCAGCCAGCAGACAGGAATTTGAACCCCAGCTGTCTGCCTCCTGCCGTGGTGGACACGTGGAAGTGCCCCCTGCCCAGCTTCAGGTGCCCTCTTTGCTGCCTGAACTCAGCCCAGCCAGGGGGGTTGTCGCATCCGTTCCACATCCCCAGGTAGGTCTCCGTCTGGGTTGTGTTCCGGCCTTAGCCTGTCCTGAGCTGAGCTCCCGATGCCCCCGCGCCAGCCCCCGCAGGCTTCCCCATCTTAGGTACCGCAACGCAGCTCTTCTACCTGCCAGGGCCCAAACCTTCATGTGGCGCCGGCCCCCGCTTCCTCCTCCATCCGGTCACCTGTCAGCAGCATTCAGAAGTCAGCACTCACCATCTGTGCTGCTGTGACCCCTCCCCAGGGTATTGCAGAGGCCTCCTGACTCTTCCAGCTTCTGCCAGGTCCTCGCTCTAGTCTGATCTCTGCAAAGTAGCTGCGGCCCTTCTAAGACCTGAACCTAACGGTGTCACCCTCAGAGCTCGGCCACAGGCCCACCACGCCCCCGGGCCTCCGAAGCCCTGGGCCCTTCTGGGCCACTTGGTCTCAAGTGCAAGTGCCCTTGCCCCGCTAGGCTTCATTCCCCTTGCCTGCCCTCAGATTTTTCCCTCTGTTCTCATCACTGCCTGGCTTACTGTATTTTTTTTTTTTTGACAGGCAGAGTGGATAGTGAGAAAGAGACAGAGAGAAAGGTCTTCCTTTTGCCGTTGGTTCACCCTCCAATGGCTGCCGCAGCCAGCGCACTGCGCTGATCCGATGGCAGGAGCCAGGTACTTCTCCTGGTCCCCCATGGGGTGCAGGGCCCAAGGACTTGGGCCATCCTCCACTGCACTCCTGGGCCACAGCAGAGAGCTGGCCTGGAAGAGGGGCAACCAGGACAGAATCTGGTGCCTGGACCAGGACTAGAACCCAGTGTACCAGCGCCGCAAGGCGGAGGATTAGCCTAGTGAGCCGCCGTGCCGGCCGGCTTACTGTTTTTTTAAATTTAACTTTTAAAAATTTTCCTTCCATTTGACTCTGAGTCAGCGAGCAGGGATTCAGGAGTGGCCCCTAAGACCTGCATGTCCTTGAAGCCATTCTTATTTTAATGTCGAAGACTAGGAGTTACCTTTCCGCAAGAATCTGGTTGAGGTTAGCATTCCAGAGACATTTGCAACTCATCAGTGCAGTGTGTGATTTCTTGCCCAAGATTACGAGATCCGATTACAGGGGTGAGAAAAGAGGGAAGTTTGGGACTTTTCCTTATATGAACTATTTCTTTTGCGAATTGATCGCAAGTTAGGCATGAAATTCACACGGAGAGTTAGAAAGCCTCTGCTTCTGTAGCAAATGGTAAGGAGAGACGCAAAGTGTGTGCTGAGACCTCTACCTTTTGCTTCTGACGGGCAGCTAAAGCCGTGTGCCCCAGGTGCTCTGAATGTGTACACAACTGGAGTGGCTCAGCCGAGCTGAGCAACGCGTGCATTACCTCAAGCACACATACTTGTGCTTTCTCTCTCTCTTTTCTTGTGGTGAGAAGACTTAAAATCTCTCGTAGCCATTTTCCAAACACAGCACATTAACTGTAGTCACCGTGTTGTACAGCAGATCTGCTGAACACATTCTTTCTAGCTGCAGTTTTGATCTGTAAGATCCTTTTCTTCAATGTGTTATTAAAGAAATGTGAAAAGCCCTGCGGGCCGGCGCTGTGGCATAGTAGGTTAGGCTCTGCCTGCAGTGCCAGCATCCCATATAGGTGCTCCACTTCTGATCCACCTCCCTGCTAATGGCCTGGGAAAGCAGTGGGCGATGGCCCAGGTCCTTGGCCCCTGTACACACATGCGAGACCCAGAAGAAGTTCCTGGCTCCTGGTTTTGATCAGCTCAGCTCCAGCTGTTGCAGTCATCTGGGGAGTGAACCAGCAGGTGGAACACCTCTCTCTCTGTCTCTCCCTCTAACTCTGCCTTTCAAATAAATAAACAAAAATGTTTCAAATAAATATTTATTTAAAAGGCAGAGGCAGAGAGAGAGGGTATTCCATCTGCTGGTTCACTCCCAAGATGGCCTTAATGGCTGGAGCTGCGCTGATCCGAAGCCAGGAGCCAGGAGCTTCTTCCTTGAGCAGGAGCTCAAGGACTTGGGCCATCTTCTGCTTTCCCAGGCCACAGCAGAGAGCTGGATGGGAAGTGGAGCAGCCAGGACTTGAACTGGCACCCATATGGGATGCTGGCACTGCAGGCGGCAGGTTTACCTGCTACACCACAGCGCTGGCCCCAATAAATATTAAAAAACAAACAAACAAACAAACAAAAAACCAACAACACCACGAACCGTTAGGGAAGGGGACTGTGGAGACACAGCCAGTGAGAAGGGCGGAGTGCTCTCCTTTCGTGCCTGGCAATTGACAAGAGTGTGAGGGGTTGCAGGTGTGGGGTTTGTGAGTCACCGAGCCCCCGCCTGCTGACTGTGCCTATTTCTGTGTGTGCTGTCCCAGGAATGGGGAGAGATGGAGACGGAGTGCCTCATGCTGCACGTAGAACACAGCCAGAGATGAGCAGGCCTTATGGGAGTGGGTGGACTCGAACAAAACCCAAGTCTGGGGGAAGCACACCCAGGGAAGGCCTGGGGAGCGGGGGCCTCAGCACGCCCCGTGCTGCGGATGCTTCTCACACTTTGGGCATCTTGTCAAAAGGCAGATTCTGTTTGTGCTGGTGAAGGAGAGGAAGCAGCCGGTACACCATACCCTCCCTGGGGTGCGGGTGCCGCTGGCTCAGAGGCCAGTGTCCGAGACGAATCTGCCCTTTGGTGCTACAGTCTCTGACTTTCCCTTGATCGCAGAGCCGTTGACTTAGTCGTCGGGCCGCCTCCCTTTCCTGACATCTGCAGATCTGCCTTTCAGAGTTCACTTGGGCGGCCAGTGTTGTGGCACAATGGGTTAAGCCACCACCTGAGACACCAGTATCCCATATGGGCTCTCGTTTGAGCCCAGGCTGCTCCACTTCCAGTCCAGGTCCCTGCTAATGTACCTAGGAAAGCAGCAGAAGATGGCCCAGGTGCTTGGGCCCCTGCACCCATGTGGGAGACCCAGATGGAGTTCCAGGATCCTGGCGTCAGCCTGGCCCAGCCTGGCCCAGCCTGGCCCAGCCCGGCCCAGCCTGGCCCAGCCCTAGCCACCACAGCCATTTAGGGGAGTGAACTAGCAAATGGAAGATGTCTTTCTCTCTCTCTCTTTCTCTCCTTTCCCTTTGCCTTTCAAGAAAAAAAAAAAAAGTTTGCCTGGGGAGCAGGCTAGCAGTTAGGATTCCTGCATCCCACATTGGAATCCAAGCCCCCAGATTGGCTGTGGCTCCGGCTGCAGATCCCGACTCCAGCTTCCTGCCACTTCAGACCCTTTTGAGGCAGCAGTGAGGGCTCAAGTAACTTGGCTCCTGTCGCCCACGTGGGAGACCTGGGTGAGTTGCCGGCTCCTGCTCAGTGCCAGCCACCGCAGGCATCTGGAGAGTGACCCAGCAGATGGGAGCTCTGCCTGCCTCTCTGCCCCTCGACAATAAATGAGTAAGAGCCCACTTGATAATTCTTGTGGCTTACTGTATGACTCTATGATCTCCGAATGCTGTGACATGTTTGCTAGGATGCTACCTGGGTCCTTCAGAAAGAACGTGGTTCTATTATTGGTCGATTTTGATTGTATTCCTACGAGCCGCCAGTCTGCCCCCTGTAATCACACCCGGCCATGCCCTTTTGAGAAGACACGTGGACGGAAGAGACGGGCCTCTTGTTTTAGGCACTTGCTGTTGGGGAAGCCATCAGGGTTGTAGTTAACCTGTGTGACCCCAGCATGAACCACCAAGGTAGCTATGGACTGATTATGTAGCGATGTGCACTGATAGGTATTGATTATGTACTGATATGTATTGATTCTGCCTCTCTGTGCTCATACTTGTAGCAGAGGCTAAAATTAGAAACATGCCCAGGAGGTATCCACTTCTGGTGGCGGAGGGACCAGGGTTGCATCTGTCTTCATCTTCTCAAGGGCTAGGGCTTGTGCCGAGGGCCACGCGGTGACAGACCAGTGTCAGTGTGCAGCCAGGGAAGGGGAGTGCAGGGGGGCTTGGCTGTTCACATCAACAGTCCGACCCTCCCGTTCAGCCCAGTTCGGACAGTTACCCCGGGGTCCCTGCGGGAGACGCTCTGTGGCTGTGCATCGTTACCCAGTGTCGTCTGAAGCCGGCTGGCACGGCTGAGCGCAGGTGTGTGCTGTACATAGGCTCACGTGTGTTTCCTGTTTCCTCCCTAGGTCTTGTCCCTGATCGCCTTCATCTGCATTGAGACCATCATGGAGTGCTCGCCCTGCGAAGGCCTCTACTTTTTTGAGTTTGTAAGCTGCAGCGCGTTTGTGGTGACGGCAGTCTTGCTGATCATGTTCAGTCTCAACCTCCACATGAGGATCCCCCAGATCAACTGGAACCTGACCGTGAGTACAAGCCCCACTCCCTGACGGTGAGAGGCTGTGCCGCCGGCAGGCTCCAGGGCTGGCGTCCCTCGTGTCGTGTTTGCTTCTAGCGCAGTTGGATCCTTAACTAGTCCATGATAACTCAGTGGTGAAGGTTAAAATGTCTTTGCTGGGTTGAATGAACTGAATGGTTCTAACAATGATGTTAGAGATGTCATTTCAGGTTTTCTTTTTTTTTTTAAGATTTATTTATTTTATTTGAAAGGCAGAGTTACAGAGAGGCAGAAGCAGAAAGAGAAAGAGGTCTTCCAACCACTGATTCACTCCCCAAATGGCCACAATGGCTGGATCTGTGCTGATCTGAAGCCAGGAGCCAGGAGCTTTTTCCAGGTCTCCCATGCAGGTGCAGAGGCCCAAGGTCATCTTCCATTGCTTTCCCAGGCCATAGCAGAGAGCTGGATCCAGAAGTGGAGCCACCAGGATTTGAACTGGCGCCCATATGGGATGCCAGCACTGCAGGTGGTGGCTTTACCCGCTATGCCACAGCACTGGGCCCCTCATTTCAGTTTTAAGTCATCTGCCATGACCAACCAGTAAGGTTCATGTTTACATGGGACAAGAAAGAAAATGGATTACTACATTTGTATGTTTTTCAGACAGGACACTGAAGCAGTTAACAAAAACATTGATTCTGTAAGAACTGAAAATATGAATGAAATGCCAATAATGTGCAAAGCCTAGAAATGTAACTAAGTGTATAGAGACGGGGGACCTGGGCCTTTGAGTGGTTTGACCAAGAATCTCAAGAGGAAATGTGTGCTTTTCTCTCAAGGTTGAGTTCTCAGCCCTACTGGGACAGCTAGGGCTGGCCAGGCCCCAGCCGCCTTGCCTGGCCTGCGCTGCTTGTTCCTGTCTTGTGGCACGAGAAAGGAATTTTAACGTCACTTGGTTTTCTTGATATTTCTTTGCAAATAAGCGTGTGCAAGGGCTCAGACGTTTCAGTCGGGAGACAGAGAACAGCTCAGCAGCTGCCTCGCCCTCTGTGCCCGCGGGCACTGCAGCTGCGCCCGTGGCGGTGGAGGGGGCGGCCGCGGGCCCCCTTCCGTCGGCCAGGGCCACGGGGGCCTTCAGTCATCCAGGGCCGTGGACTCTGTCTCTCTGGCTGGTGGGGGGAGGCAGCCCAGGCAGGGCTTCTGCCGTGGTGTGCCCTGGGGCACGGACATGGTAAGTCTTCTGACAGAGTAGTCTTTGTGTTGTCCTAATGGGCACAAGCTCTTCTTAGGAGGAAGAAAATCAAAGGAGAACTGCTGATCTAGAAAAGTCGATGTCAGCCGAACGCCGGGCTGCTTTTGTCTTAGCACTGAAAGCTGGAGGAAATGGAACTGTATTTTAAATTCAGTTTGAAGCCTCAATATAACTGGAAGCCTCTTGTCTAAGATTTTGTGACAAGTTTTAATGTCTCAGCTATTTTGGAGGTAAAGTCTGTGTTGTCCCTAAAGAAATGCTTCGCGTTCTGGCCTGAACTGATAGCGCCGCAGACGAACAGCTTGAGAGAGCCTTATGGGGCAAGGCCAAGGCTGCTGACTTGTTCCTTGTTCTCCCAGTTACTTTGTGATCCTAAGGCCCTCAAGATAAGTACTTGTTGAGGGAGGAGCCGCCGAGGAGCCTGTGAAACCGTGCAGGAGGACCTATTTGACAAAGCAGCGGCTGCCGGGAAGGTCAAGATCACAGCCTTTGAAGAGTGGGTCACTTGGAGCCGGCGCCGTGGCGCAGTAGGTTAATCCTCAGCCCCCATATGGGTGCCGGTTCAAGTCCTGGCTGCTCCTTTTCCGATCCAGCTCTCTGCTATGGTCTGGGAAAGCAGTAGATGGCCCAAGTACTTGGGCCCCTGCACTCCGTGTGGGAGACCTGGAAGAAGCTCCTGGCTTCGGATTGGTACAGCTCTGGCCATTGTGGCCATCTGGAGAGTGAACCAGTGGATGGAAGACCTTTCTCTCTGTCTTTCCCTCTCACTGTCTGTAACTCTGCCTCTCAAATAGATAAATAAAATCTCACAAACCACAAACACACATAAAAGTGGGTCACTTAGAGCCCTGCGTTGGTGAGACAGTGCCATCGGCAAAGTGGAGATGATATTTTTCTTGCAGGGTTGTTTTAGACATAAAGTGGAATCATGGGTAGACAGGTATCTGGTAAACCCTCATACCTGTGGGTGCTACTGCCAGTGCAACCACACCATCCTCCCTCAGGCTTCTACCAGGGTCGCCTTTCCTCCCGTCTGTCTTTGTCTGCCTCTTTGACAGCATTCATCTGTAATGCTTCGGATTCTCGCCCATTCACGTGGCCCTTCCCTCCAGAGATGCCTAGTTAGTGAGCATTCTGAAATTCCGGCTTTCCCACTTCAGTCATGAAAGCCCTTCCACTGGTTGAACACCGCATTCGTGGTCACGTTCAGCTGTATCTTTTTCACTGGAAAGTTGGTATCTGTTTTTTTTCCTGGATGAGGTTGGCTTGGTGGTCACGTGATCAGCTGAGACCACCTTCCTGTCCCTGGGGTCCACACTTTGCAGTGAGTGAGCCTGAGGAGGTGGTACCGTGGGTGGCACCCATGGCATCCGTCGTCGGAGAAAAGTGGGTTCCTCACCCGGGCACCGCTCTGTGAGTCGCCACAGGGCCAGCCCTGGCCGTGCTGTGGCTCTGACAACGCAGAGCCATCCTGCTGAGGCGAATGGGCGTGATGGGCACAGGTGCAGGAAAACAGGTCATCCGGGAGCCCAGGCTGACACACGTGGAGGAGCAATGGCAGGTAGGGAGGACATTTTTTTTTTTCTTCAAATTCTGTTTTTAAGTTAGAAATAACTATTTTTCTGTGGGGTACACAATGTTGTTTTGATACCTGTATCTCTTGAGAATGGTCAAACCAGCCACGTCTCCATCACCCGAAATACTTAGCATTTCTTGCTGGTGGGAACGTGGGAAGTCCTCTCGTAGCTACTCTGAACTCAGCATCGCATTGGTCTTGCGACAGTCACACCCTGTGCAGTGGGACACCCAGTCTTCCTCCTCCCATCTGACACCAGCTTTGTGTCCAGGGACCAAGGTCACAAGGCAGTTTTTGTACAAGCGTGAGTTGATGCAATCTGAATGATGCTGTTCATGTCAAGTTTGGGGGTTGGTTTGTTTGGTTTTATTTTTTTCCTGAGTGCGTGGGCCTTGTCCTGTGATACTGTGTCTAACCGTGGACTGGGGGCTCGCACACCTGTTGGTCCAGCGGCAGTTCACCTGGATGAGTGCCACTGCCGCCTCCTTCGCCCCATGCTGGAGCTGGGCTGTTGAAAGGGCGTGTCTGATCCCCAGTGTACCCTGAAACCTGCCGCTCGCTCCCCCGCTTCCCTGCTGGCGCCGTAGCCCAAGGCCACCTGGCTAGACTTGCTGGCAGGAGACTGGCACCTGCCTTTTCTGTTCCCTCTCCCCTAATCTCTCTCTCCTAACCTGTTATGATCACATTCAAAACACTTTGGGAAAGTAAATACATAGTTTAACCAAGAGTTAAGATTATGTAGCTGCCACCTGGGCCAAGCACGAGGCTCCTGCCAGCAGCCCTGAAGCGCCCGTGTGTCTCGCTCAGACACAGGAGCCACCGCCCCGGTCCCCTGGGCACCGTCCGCTCATTCCAGTGTGGCTGAGGGTCCCACTGCGACACCGGAAGCCCTCTACTGAGGACCTCGGAGGCTGCATGCCCTGGGTCCCCTGGTGACCCTGAGCACTTGCCCTGCTCACCGCCGTGCCCTATCTGCTCTGGAACGCCCTGTCCTTGCCACGCTCTCAACCTCGCCTCCCGGGACTCCGTGCTCTCCTGGCTTCCTGCGTCCCCCCTCTGTGGCCCCAGCTCCTCTCCCAGGCTTCCTTCTGCCTAGGGCCCCAAGCCGGCTGTTGTGCTGGGTTGAGAACAATGTGAGGTCACCCAGAGGGCCTTTGTTGAGCCCTGAGCCCTTGGCCATGACTCATTTTTTTGTGTATGTGTATGTGTATGTGTGTGTATTGTTCTGTTCCTGATGCTACACAAGCATCTACACGTGGCCAGCAATTCCACTTAAATCTGACGCCAGTTCCCAGAGATAGTGCAGTCTCGCAGGTTAAGGGTTCAGTTACAAGACTCGTCCTGCTTCTGATATCATGGCCAGGCACCAGCAACCTCCACAACCCGCTCCGCGGTCCACTTGTTCTTGGGGCGGGCATTTGGCACAGCAGTTAAGATGCCACGTAGGATGCCCACATCCCATACCGAGTGCTTTGCTTTGAGTCCTGGCTCTGCTCCTGATTCCAACTTCCGCTAACGCACACCTTTTGGAGGCCCTTGGCAATGGCTCACGTATTTGGATCTCTGCACCCACATGGGAGACCCGATGGATTTCCAGGCTCCTGGGGTTGGCCTGGTCCAGCCCTGGCCATTATGGGCATTTGGGAATTAACCAGCATATTGGATATGTTTTGTCTGTCTGCCTGCCTGCCTTTCTCTTTCTCTTTCTCTTTCTCTCTGTGTGTGTGTGTGTTTGTGTGTGTATCTGTGTCTGTTGGACTTTCAAGTAAGATGAAAACTGATTAAAGAAAATAGTTCCCCAGAGCAGCCCACAGGACCCAGGGCCGTGCGTTCCGCGTGACCCCTGGCTTCTTAGGAAGCATAAATCTCAGGAGCAGCCAGATCGGAGAGCGGTGCCAGGCTGGGTCCCCAGGGCCCCGAGGGCAGGAGCCGCCGGAGCCGCTGAGGAGTTGGGATCTTCCTTGGACTCAGAGCCAGCCGCCCTCATGGAAGAATGGAAGAGTTCAGCAACTCAGAAGCTCCCAGCAAGGCTTATTCAGTGATTTCCAGGGATAGGCATGATGGATGAGCACTGGACGCAGTGTCCAGTCCAGTTCCCTCCCCTAGAGTCCAGGGTGGGTGGGGCTGAAGGTTTTTCTGGTGACTGGGCCCATCCAGAAGCTCTGCTAAGACCCACTTCGGTTGTTTTTTTTTTTTTAAG